CAGATGTTTGACAGGAAAGAAGAAGCAAACCACACCAGAGCACCCGCCAACCAACCACAGATGGTTGTCAGAGCAGGTTTGACTGTAAAAGGGCGATGACCTTTGACATCCAAAAGCGGAGCAGATGCTGCAACTGCTAAAACATTTAGTTACAGTTATACGATATGTGAAAATTATAATATCAATTTTAATCAATATATTCATTTATTTCAAACACATGTTTCATTTGCTTCCCTTTGTTAGGAATACAGCTTAGTTAGTTTAGTAAGAATTTTGTGAGTGTGCTTATCAAATATAACAAGGGTGCTTATCAAATATAACAAACTATCAAATAACAATCACCATCTTAATCATACTGATGAACTTTTTAAATGTCTTTGCCAGTTCGGCTTTAGTAAAAGTTTCACAGTTGAGGTCATTTAAGTGCTGAAGACAAGATCAGAGGTGTTACTAAAATGTAACATACAAACAAAAGAAGAGGGAGGGATATGAGGGCTATAGAAATCAGATCAGACAGAAGGAGCAAACCACACCAGAGCACCCGCCAACCATCCCCCACAAATAATGCATTTGCAAAAAAAAAGTAAGAACAAGGAAGATTTTTATGAGAGGCTCACAGCAAACACAATTCATCGTCAATGAAAACCAAACTGCAGCAACAACAAAAAACAGAAAAAAATGAGGCAAAAAGAAATCCAACCACCGGTGGATGATTAAGATGACAGAAATGGATGATGGATGAAGGGAGGAGGAGAGGGGAGGAGGAGGAGGAAAGAGGGGAGGAGAGGGAAGGAAAGGGAAAGAGAAGGGAGGAGGAGGGGAGGGAAGCAGAGGGGAAACAGAGGAGAGGAGAGGAGAGGAGAGGAGGGGAGGGGAGGAAGAGCTTCAAGAGGACAGACAGGGATGATGGATGTGGGAGAGGAGGAGAGGGGAGGAGAAGCAGGGTGGAGAAGGGAGGTAGAGGGGGAGGCAGAGGAGAGGGAAAGAGGAGAGGGAAAGTAGAGGGGAGGCACGGATGAGGAATGTGGGAGAGGAGGAGAGAGGGGGAGAAGCAGGGAGGAGAAGGGAGGTTGAGGGGAGGCAGAGGAGAGGGAAAGAGGAGAGGGGAGGTAGAGGACAGGCAGGGATGAGGGATGTGGGGGAAGGGGGAGAGGGGAGGGAGACGGCAGGGGAGAAGAAGGGAGGAAAGGGAAGGCAGAGAGGAGGGAAGAGGAGAGGGGAGGTAGAG